GCGGCCTTCGCCAAACAAGCTCTTGTACACAGCCAGACACGACAGGCCAAAATCTCCACTTGCCATTGTCAAATCTTGCGCACAATGGTGCCCCTGAAGGAACGTCCAAAATGCACCTCAGAGCAGCGGAAATGAAGTCCGTGGAGGAGGTGTTTGCTTTCTGATCACGAGCGAGCGTCCGGACATACGAGAAGTGCTGCTCTAGGCTGGCAGTGCTCTCGAAGATGCAAAGAAGGATCCCAACCTGTGCGCACCAACGCTGCAACATTGTATCTTCAAAGCTGCATTCTTACATCCACAGTATTGCAAAGCATGCACTGCATTCGGTATGTGGGCTTAAGACAGCAACGCACAAGGAGGCAAAGCTATAAATGTTGTTCACAGAGTTTGAACGCTGCAACACTGCACTATGCTCGAAGAACAGAGATTGAGCAGCGCACTGCATTTGGCATGAGTTTAACGCACCTATGCTCAACCTAGACACTTGTTCACTCACGCAAACTATATGGCCGGAAAATGATGTAAACCGCACGAGGCAAAGCGCACCTATGAGCTAAGGACAGGGCTGCTCTTCCAAGAACAGGCAAACGCTTGCCGCCGCTTGCCCCAATGCTGCATGGTCTGGCACCAATAATCCTTTGGGACTGCGACTCCATTCCTTGCTGGCAAGACTAGATCACGGAGGCCTGTTGGCAGAAAGGAATCTATTGATGAGATGCGTGCGCGTTCCATGTGCGTGAAGGAGCTCTGTCTTTAGCTCCGAAGCCTCAGAGAATCAACGAGTGAGAGAGGCACAGAGTAGAAAGAATCAACGGCCTGAAAAAGCTGCACGTGCGTCATACATGGAAGCCAAGAGCGGAAACGAAACACAAGAAGAGCCGGAGGCGCAGTGCCGCATCCGAGACGCGGCTGTTCTCAATGTCGAAGACGCCCATGGCTTGCCCAAGGCCGGCTTCGTGTTCAGCAGCCACACCTTCCAAGTAGACGGTCGTCACTGCTTTGATGCTGCCTACCGAGCCACGCAGGAGCGCCATTCCTTGGCACTGACTCCTGCCATGTGCAATTAAATAACAGTGAAGGCAAGTATAGTGCAGGAACAAGTGATGTGCAAGTCATGGCATGGGTTGGACCCACTCCTGGTCGGTGGTACATCACTTTACCTCGCTGAGAACCGTCTGAGACGAAGACCCGCAACCTCGTCAACTTCAACTAGAATGGGGACAAACGGTGGAAACACTGAGAGCCGCACGTGCTCTCATTGCTTCAAAGACAATAGCAACATACCATCTCGAGAAGGCAGGTTTCAACACCATGGTTTCCTGTGGCTTCCCGTCATCAGTCTTGTATTCAAAGAGGCGACGCAACTCCTTCGAACAATGGCGAATGAAAGACTAGTGACTAGTGGCAGATAAGGCACGGGTCTCTCCTCAGATGTGGCAGTGGCTATGATATGTGGGAAAAATATTGATGTAACCCCGGGTGGCCGAAGTTGTGCAATTACCCCTGCCACATGCCAGCAAACAAATGTTGAACAAGGCCAAGCATCCGTCTGTGATTCCAGATGGCGGATACCTATAGAGGCCAGCCATCTGCAGCAGCTCCAGCAACGTGTCCCCCACCGCATGCTGATTGCCGCAGCTTCTACACACAGCAATGACGCATGGCTCTGCCAAGAGAGGTTGAAGAACCCTGTAGACTATCCCATATAGGTACCCCAGTGGGATCCCATAAGGTCACTTAACCTCTTTTGGTAACTCGGGAACCTGCTTTTCTATGCAAGAGTTTTGCTGTAGCAAACTCTCTGTGGCTCCTTGACACCATTTTTTGTGCATGAGCCTATGTAAGCAGCTCGCTTAGTTGAAGCTGCTTTCCATCATCGGACTTGGTTTCTTGCTTCCCAACACTTGATCTCCCGGCGCGCTGGGTGTCTATCCTGAGCCTGGCAGCTCCGCAAGATCGTTTTAGTGATTCATACATGCCATGTGGCTGTGGGTCAAAACGAGGAGAGCTTGGTCGACCCACCTGGAAGTTTGGGCTCCGGATTTGGACCCATCTCAATGTACCACAAATCCTTCCACGCTCAGCTACTCAGCTCAGCCACCAAACCTAATGTCCCGAAGTCGGATGTCCAAGGAACTGCCTTCTTTCAAAAGGCCTGGTCAAGCCCTGGTTGACGCTGGAAAAATGAACAAGTTCCTGTGTCTGTATAAGGGTGGTTCCTGCAAAAACAGGTTTCATGCTGTAGGTAGCGGAAAAAAGTCTAAGAGTGCACCACCCAAGGACACGGCCTTATATCCGCAAAACCCAAGTGTTCTACATTATATCCGCAATAACCAGGTTTACTCCCAGTTCGGAGTTCATCGGAAATTAACAGTCGAAGAGCCCAAAGGAACAGCAAAAAACAAAGGGCAACAAAGAAGGAAAAAACACGTCTTTTCACACAGTTGCGCTTTGCCTTTGCCTTTCCCACTTCCTTTGCTCTTTCCTTTGCTATCTAGGCCTTGCTCAGTCAAGCAACGTGTGCAAAGCTAGGCAAAAAGCAGCTTCGCAGCAAACCAAAAATACACTGCAACGTCCTGCCTTTCTCCCCTTTGCCTGCTCGGACCTCGGCGGTGACGCACTGGCCACGAAGCACCGGATCTCGGCGCCGAGCAGCGATGGTCAGAGCCGTTTTGGGTTTCCCTGTGTTTTAATCGAGGTGCAGGGGAATTCGGGAATCTTCCATTTCACACCAGATTATTACAGATTTGATGAAAACACCATCAGCTGATCCAGTTGCAGTCTAGGACAACCAACCCCCAAAACCTCCAAAACCCTTTTGCCTGCAGCCGACTGTGGTGCCTCGGAGGACCGGCACCTGTAAAACATAGTATTACAAAAAACGGTCATTGGAAAGAGCCTGTTTTCTAAATTAAAAAGGCCAAAAAAGTCAAACCAGAAAATTCCAGAAAGTCAAAGAAAAGTCAATTTGCCCAGATCCGACTTTTTTTGACGTTTTTCCATTAAACGACTTTGTTTTTTAATTTTTTCGAGTGGTTGATTTTTTTTGACATTTTTTACTTTTTCGAGTTGTTTTTTTGAATGTGACTTGTTTGACTTCTTTTTGACCGTTTTTCGATTTTTTTACACGTTTTTTTGACTTTTTTGAGCTGTGGTCTATGGTTGACTGGTTTTCGACTTTTTTTGACTTTTCAGTTTGACATTTTTTTGACTTTGACTTTTCCAGTTGACTTTTTTTTGACTTTTTGCGACCTTTTTTTGCATCAAGGATTCTGGCCTTACCATATTGAAAGTTGTTTTTTAATTGTAAACATAGTAAAACAGCCGGTTTTCGCTGCTTTCCCCATGCGCGTGTCAAAAGAACCGGCTCGGTGCGTTTTCAGGCGAAGAACACCTGGAATGAACGAAGCTTCCCGTTTTGGAGAAGCAAGGTCTTCCACCGTCTTCCAGAAAAGGGGAAGAACAAGAGCTCTTGGTGAACTGGTACTTGACTTTTGGAGTCCAAAATCCGTGCCCTGAGTTTGATGAGGTCGCCCTGCAAAAGGGTGGGATGTCGAGTCGTTGCTGTCGCTGTCGTTCCGTCTCCTCCAGCCATGGTCTTGCAGCTGCTAAAAGTCACGATCAATACGGGCCATTCCAAGGACCCCTGCCGGGGCAGTGTGTGGTGCATGTTCGGCGAGCTGAAGAACAAAAGGATCCAGCGGCAGTGGTTAAATGAACATGGGGTCCATCAGGATCACAGGGCTGGAGGCCATCGCTAGTAGGTTGGAGGCCATCGCTATTAAAAACAAAGAAAACAGTTGGTAGTACAGTCCAGTCCCAGATTGGAGGAAAACGCCTTCCACTACACCTCAGGGTGTTGAGTTTGACCAAGTCCAGGACAGCTCGGGAGATGGACTGCCATGTTCGAACATTCCATTTTGGCGCATTGTGAGGCTGTCTCAACGGTGGAGGATTGTGTCCATTAGGTTATGGTCAATGCATTCATGCTTTGCTGGTTGATGGGGTTCAGGACTTGTCTTCCACTGCCCACCAATCAGGTTCTCTCTGAATGGCCAGGAACGGTTCCCCAAAGCCTCTTGCAGCCGTCCAAGCGCGGAAAATGGAACGAATTCAGACCCGGAGGGCATTCACAAATTTTCACAAGTTCCACTCACAGGTCTTGTCAAATCCAGTGTGCCTTTCTTTATCAAGATGGCTTGATAGCGATGGACATTCAGCACTCGTTTCGCTGTGTGGCTTGGCGGCGGAGCTGCGGAGCAATGGACCCAGTGGCCCCAGCGAGAACCCACACCGGTCTCGCTATCCATGCAATTCATGTGCAGGGATTTCGGCATGGGCGCAACTAGGTCCTTTCAAGAGTTTTGCTGCTCTTCTAAAGGGATGGTCAGAAGTTGTGGTGAAAGAAATGGGATGCACTGAGAGGAGTCAGCCTCAAGCTTCGTTCTTGGTGGAACATGGCTCATGTGGACATCACCTAAGAAGGGAAGACATACCTTCGCTGGCGGTCGCCTTTCACCGAAACCTGTTGCCGTGCACCGGACATACCGCCGTCGACGGTGCCCGTGCACCGAGAACACCGCCCCCTGGGACACTTCATGAAGAAACGAGCGCTGAAGTTGACCCCTCAAGTCGTTGCTAAGCTGTTTGATCTTGTATTCCACAGTCTGATTTGCGTGATCAAGCTACCGCTACAATGCGTTTATCTAAGAAATTGACAGACTGGACAGATCTGTTGAGGAGACTCTTCTTCCTAACCACCGCTAGCGCAGTTTTTTCGACGAGTGACTCAAAAAGCTGAAAACGCGAATGACTCGATGGTGAACCGCGGGAAGGAAGAACCTCCAACTGCAGAAAAGGAGCTCCTACCAACAAAATCAAGGTTCTGAAGCGGGCTTTGAACCAAACAACTCATTAACCCTTGAGAAAGTGAAGGTCTTCCATCTCTATCCCTTTGTGTTTCGTAATTTGCCTATCCACTTCGTTGCTTCTAGCTCCGCCTAGCTCCGCCCTGTGCCAGACCGCTTCAGCGGAAGTTGCGTTCGACTGGAGCCCATGCTCTTCTTCGCTTGCGCCTCATCTCAGCAGGGTCTCAGCATGTGATGGAGAACGTTTCCATCAATGGGGGAACCCTGTCATCCATTTGAATGGATTGTTTAGTTTAAATCATACATTGACGGACACCTCGATTGGTTTTTGCAATTGTTTTGTCTTTAAATACTGGCCGAATAAGCATCTCAGATTCCTCTGCAAAAAAGTTTCAAGGTTCCAGACCATGTAGTGCCGCTTGAGGAAAGGGAGGGGCTGGGACATGACAGAGGTTAATGGCAGGGACATGTGGACGTTGATCGGTTGGATCGTTGATCGGCCCAAACGAATGAACCCTGAAACACGTGAGCAACAAGCCCTTCTCCTTGACAGGACCCCCAAAACCTGCATGTATGGAGTTGCCACCATGGATGGGTCTTTGGGAGAAGGGGTGAGCCATGCGTGGCACCTCTTCCAGTCGCATTCGTCTGGTCTGGGTTAAGTTCCTCGTGTTTCACGAAAGGAGGCATCACCAGACCAGTGAAATCCGGCATTCACATTCGCAGCTTTCCACATCGCGGCATCAATTCCTACCCCTGCGCCACCTCATCCCAATCCTAAGACCCAGTGTTCGAGGGGAACTGGGAGGAACTTCCCAGTGTTCCGGGCGATCAAAGGATACAACTGCAGGGGGTTCAGAACCACATTGTGGGCTAAACGGTTGAGCTGGAGCTGCGAGAACTTCTTAGATTTGCTAACTAAGGTACCAGGAAATCAATCAGAACCTCTTCCGAACAGGATTCACCCTACAAGGAACATCAAAGCATCACCAAAACCCCGCCCTTCTTTAGGCCTCCGACTCCCCCGACGGTCGCCGAAGGGGCCGAGATGTAGGGGATGCCGTCGGGAAAGGCTCCGCAGGCGGTGCGCGAGACGCAGTACAAAAGGCAAACGCCGAAGAGCAGCAGGATGGCCTTGGAGGTCGGTTTTCGGTTTTGTGTCACACTTTCTCGTCGGCTTTAAGCCGACCCACGGAGGAGTGAAATTGTCGAAAAGCACTTCATGGCCACAGTGATCTCTACCCGAGCAGCTCTCCGGCTCTCCGAGCCCAAGTGCAAACGCACACATACCCGGTATATCTTCTGCTTAACATGAGCGGACGGACAGGGACCGCAAGGGCTTCGCGAGTTCACCCGGTAGATCTAACGGCAAAATATGGAATTATCTCACAGGCCCTAGGGCTCCAACCACCTTCTGAGGAGATGGTTGGGGTGGGTTTGGGGGGTCTAACCACCTTCTGAGGAGATGGTTGGAGCCCTAGGGAGGTATCATTTGGTCCAATATCTCCTTGCGTTCCTTGGCGCCAAGAGTGGTCTGCTTCGGTCGCCCGTTCGGTCCTCGAACTTCGGAGATCTCCACATCGCGTGAAGCGGTGGGCGTAGGCGAAGGGCCAACAGGGCTCTGGAGCTCGTGAGGTGATCCCTGGAAGCCTTGAATAAATATCAGAACACAGGGAGCAGCGCCCATGAACGCCCCAGCACAAAGCCAAGTATTGAAGGGAGGAGGGGGTATGAAACAAGCCTTCACATAGTGACAATCGAGCTGATCCGTGGTCTCGAGAATTCAGACGCGTCAGAGAATTCAGACGCGTCGAGCCTTCACATAGCAATGAGCTTGGATAGAAGGGCGCCCTTTCTTTTGGCGTTCGGCGCTCCTTCTTCCGCGCTGTCGTGAAAAGAGCGGATCGAGCTGACCGCTTTCACTTGGCCATCGAACAGCTGCGAACCCCAGAACCGCTGGGAAGCAGCAGGTGCTGAAGCCCTGTGTGGCGTTTTCACGCCGCGCAACAGCCAACAGAACGGCAGAAACAGCCAACCCACTCTCCTGGAAAGAACTTCGGAACCGAAGACGAAGGCCAGGCCAGGAGCCGATGCGCCCGGGTTCGGTGAACCGACCATGGCCAGGGAGGTGGCTGGCGTGCTGGCTGGCTTCACGCGTTCAGTGTGGCCACAGCCACTGAAGCTGAGAATCTGTTTGATTGATCTCCCTTTGGACATCTGAGGGGCCCTTTTCTGCAGTGTCCAAAGAGGGCAAAAACCCAAGTGTTGGTCAGGCAACACAGCATGTTGATTAATGAGTTGCGATTCTTATTGCAGTTCGATGGTGAGGTGAGTTAGTTTGTTGGATCGCTGGTGACGGTTTGGACAGAACACTTAAGTACACCAACCACTTCATTGCAGTGGCTCCTTCTGGTCTCTTGGCACAGCACCTATTCCTAAGAAGCTACGAACGGGGCGAACGGGGCTCCTGGCATTGCTACGAACGGAGCGATCGGACGCTGCTGACTCGGGGGCTCCTGGGGTTCACTATTAGGAACAAGGTTCACTATTAGTAACAATAAATATAGACAATCTGTCCAGCCCTTCCCTCTCCCCCAATCCAACTACATTAATGATGACATCCACGTATACGTTGAATTTCACTTAAACACATATACACTCCCTGGAACTAACATGGAAGTGGAGAATGGCCCCGAGCTCGGAAGACCATTTTCCATCCACTACAAACAGGTGGTGCCATCCACTTCCATGTGAGTTTTCGGGAGTGTATACAGTTTTATAACATATGACATATAAAACATAACATATAATCATAACATCAACAGTGAACATATAAACCGGCATATATTTTACTTATACCAGGACCCTCCAAGGGGTGCCCAATGGAAGCCTATAGGTAGTGTGGGGTAGTCCAGCCAGGACACCCCGACAGGAGGGCCCAGGTATGTTTTCGTTTACTGTATACAGTTTTATATGGCACGTCTCGACCTGCCGAGCAGCGCGGCTGCCGGGCATCTGCGGCAGCTCTGCCTCGCTGGGCACGTAGAAGGCGTCGCCCCGCTGCAGCGCCAGCCTCGGTATGAGATGTCTGTATATAGTGTGTCTACAGAATATCAAAGCAGTCAAGATAAGTCAAAGCATCCAACATTAAACCCATTCCATGAATGGTGGAGGGGCTTTTAGGGGAGAGCGGAGCGAATGCGGGGCGTTTTTGCAGCTTGAGCCTCCAGGATTGTGCTTCATTGTGTTTGGGCTGGTGTTACCCAAAACGCGTCCCTGGACCCTCATATGGTGGCATCGGACCCGCACACGGAGAGTTGCCCCCGGTGTCAAACCGGGGTCTTTGGAGGGACCGGTCGGGCAGGCTGCGGGTTGCGTCCGGGTCATCGGCTTTTTTTTTCCACGTGAACACAGGAAAACAACCATGACAGGGCCTTGAGAGATTAGCTGTAAATGTTCTCTTGTTCTGTTTTTGGGTGGGTTTTTTGGAGGAGGCAGGATGCAGGATGCAGGAAAGATGTGCCCCAAGGTTGCCTCAGAATGCATCATATATCAACAACAGTATGTGGGGTCGCTGTTTGTAGTGCATACGTCTGTTGCTTGACCCTCCGATGTTCGACCATGGCACATTGAATCAGTCGAGTCCTCCCCTGCTGCATGGCGGAAAGAAGTTTAGACATCATTTTGACATAGGATGAACCCTACCCACAGCCCAAGTTTTATATGTTTGGTATCCTCCGGCGGTAAGTTGTATGCAGCGCCTATACGTGTACACTGTCTGTGTTCTGGACATGAAGTGAATCTCAGAATCCCACTGACAACAGCGAAACATCTCCAACTCTGTTGTTTTGGAAAGCAACATGGCTGTGGGTCAACAGCCAAATACCGACCGGTTGACCTACTGGATACCGGTCAACTTCTGGTGCCGGACCTACCAGGTGCGATCCATCCGGATCCAATCACTCTGACTCCGTCCGGAAATCCCTTGAACCAAAGGGGTTCACCTTTTTACATCTGTTCATTGGTTGGGGAAACCAAGCCCCAAAAAAGGTTAAAGGATTATCCACTTTTGCCGGGTAGGCACGGTTCACCCATCAGGACGGGTCCAACCTTTGAAGTATCAGCCAGCCGCACCTCTGAGAGACTCACCGCGCTGCTGAAGACGCCGCGCGTGGAGAAAAACACCGAGCGTCCATCGGCTGAAGGATGAAGCATGGAAGCTGAGGCACAGCACCAAATCGATGACAAAGGCCTCGCGGGCACAGCCAGGACCTATTCTCTTCATGGTTGGTGGTCAGAGAAAGGCACCAACACACTTGTTTTCGCAGTAATTATAACCTGAGCAGGGGGAAACGAGTGATGCCGACACAGGATCATGTTGCATCTTTTGCATCTTGATCTCACCAAAGAATGATCAACAACCAAAAGCATGAACGCCACTTAAAGTTACCTCAAAACCATGTCTCCCCCAGGACCCTTAATATATCACTTCGTTCGCTCAAAAACTTCAACTCTTTGGATGAAGGAATCTTTCAATTACCAGATCTATACCAGCTGAAATCTCAGGGCCAGTCCAATGGATGGGAATGGTGTTACACTGCAGTTGAGTATGCCATAGTATGCCCCCCCCCCAACTGATTGGCGCCAGTCCGGTCGCGTCTGACCACGGCTGCCTGGTTCAGGTTGAAACGCAACAGTCGGGGCAAACGCCGTTGCCTGGGAGTCACGAGTCACGATCGACCGGTCGGGGTCCTCTCCGAGTGGTCCTGCTGAGTTCGGACCTTTTCCTTTGGCTTTAACCTTTCCTTAGAGGGTGGAAGGTTCGATCAAGAGCGAAGAAACGATGGAGGCAACACCAACGCAACGTGTCGGGTTTGCTAAACGATGTTGCGAAAAGCGACAACAACCTGAAAACTCCCGTGGAATCACCAAAAGCTCTCTTCTACCAGAGGCCGCATATGTGCAAAAGTAGATAGAATTTAGACTCCCGTGGGGGCGAACATCTATTGAGAAACATGAAACTACCCTCCCCCAAGCCAAAAGAACAACCACCTGGCAGAGAACGTCACCTTCAACCCCAACCAACTACATGTGGGGTTATATACTATTTTGGCTCCCCCAGCTGATGTGGGTATAGTGTCAGCTTCGGACCTGGACACCACGTAGATGACCTGGGCACCGCTACACTGCGATGGCAGGCATGGCGAAGAGGAGGAGCGGCTGTAAGATCTCTAGCATGGGCAAAAGATCCTGAGTCAAACAGAGTTGGTTGTTCTCACGCTCAATCTGCTCATATCATATGTGCGCTCACATATGTCTGTGTACTTTCATGGGTGTCATCGTTTATTCGTGCTCTCACGCATGCTCTCTCATACCTGTGCTCCCGTATGCGTAGTCTCATGTGTTTTGCATATGCGCGCTCTCGTGTTTGTACTCTCATGCGTGTGCTCTGGAGTGCAGTTTGCTTACTCACCCTTGTCTTGTTCTACTTACAACACTGGTTGGGGTCTGCCGGAAGATTTTGGCGTAGTAAAGGGACCTCCTCCTCGCATGAGTACAGGGAGGTGCCGGTGCATTTTTTGTGGAGGCCCGCGTAAAAGAAAACAAGAAAGAATGCTGGTGCATTTCCAGGCCCGCAGGAAATTGAAGAGATTGGGATTTCAAGGAGTGGGAGGTGGTTGGGGGAGGGCGCGGACCAACAGTAGCCAACAAAAGCCAAGAGAAGCTACCAAAAGCCAACAGCCAACAGAAGTTACAAGAAGCTACAAAAAACCAACAGAAACCATCACAACCTACAGTAATGAAACCCACGAGAACCACCAATGGCGCAAGCGAGTGGTTGGAGACCCACTCAGGCAGCCCAACGGCCGCTTCAGCCACACAACCAAAAGCCACATAAGCTCCATTAAGCTAGCAAAAGTCAAAAGCCACACAAGCCCTCCACCAAATAGGCCATCAAAGGCTAGTTAGCCACTAGAAGCTGAGTAGCCAGTGGAAGTTAACAGTCACAAACGCCAACCCAACAATACATATCCCAGTAAACAATGAAGGTTTTCCTCTACCTGGACCCTCCAAGGGGTGTCCAATGGACTACCCCACACTACCTATAGGCTTCCATTGGGCACCCCTTGGAGGGTCCTGGTACTTTCTTGTAGTTTCCATGTATATGACCCCTAGTTTCCATGAGCCACAATGACCTCTTCATACGGGGGAGCGAACGATGAATCGTCTACATGACACTCACATCCCAATCATTCCTAATCAGGACCTGACCATGGGCCAACTTCAATTTTTCGTTCGGATTTCAACAGTTACACCTTCACCCAGCCAACCCTCGTTGGGAACCCCTTCCTTCGCCAGGCTTTTTGGACCTGCTTAGCTGCAAGCAGGCGAAAGAACAAACAAACACCACCATCGTTTCTATGAGTAACCATGGTGACTCACCGTGTCACCTGACAGAAACCCAGCTTCCTAACGAACGGGACTGAAACAGTCACTTACTACATGGATGGGTCACCACTTTCATGGGGGTCAATGAGTGGCACCTCTTCCAGTCCCATCAACTCCGTCCAGCGTCCTACTCCATCGACCCCGGTACTCCCAATCGCACCCGGGATGCTGGAAACGGCATCGCGTCCTGCATGAAACAGGTCCACTCCTAGGCGTCCACGCCCGCCGCGCCGCGGGAAGCACTACGCGCCAAGGCGCCCAGGCGAACGGTCGATTTTCACGGGTCGCGTGGCCCGCGGTCGGTCTTTTGCCGTGGTGGGAGGTGCATTCGTTCCAGATGAAGGTGTGTTCCGGCTCAAGGAACTGGATAAAAGATATGCCGGCGCCAGGGCGGCGCCAGGGAATTCACCCAGGACTGGGGAAACTAAGACATCGTCTGATCTGCATAACCAGGACTTTGGGCATAAAGGAAGGATCTGGATCCAAGCTTGTGTTGACCTAGGACCTGAATGACCTCTAATTGTTTGGACCACCAACCACTCAAAATATGGTCTTTTCCTATCAAAACAGGGGTCGAATGGGTCCCAGGAAGTTTCTATGTTGCTTTTGCAACATCTCCCAACTTCTGGGTGAAAACATGGGGGTCTCCTCGGGATCTGTGGACATAGTTCGATTCAGAGCGTCTACGGTACAGGAATTGGGTGCATACTGCTTTTCAATCATTAACTTCATCACAGTGAGGTGAAGCCAGTGGAAGCGCAGCAGTGCAGTTCGGCGCACTCAGTGCGTCAGTTGCTGCATCGAACCCGGAGCGACGCTCGTTCCGCGCGTTCCGCGCGGCCCAAGGCGCCCATGCGAGGCTGGGGCACAGCCGCAGCGCTAAGCCCTGTCCGAAGAAGCGCCAAGCATCCAGGGCGGGCAACAAATATGGGAACCTCCAAAGGTGTGTCCGAAGAGGCGACGACCGCGAGGTTTTCTGTGTGGCATGGGCCGTTGAACGAGTTGGTTGAGTTGGGTGGGTGAAATCTTTCTTGTTCGATGGGGCGTTTTTTTGGGGCGGCCTCCGGGTATTTTCCCTTTCCATCCAGTTAAGTAATGAGGGTTTGAGGTTTGCCACCGAACCCAACTGAAGTCGTGATCTCTTGACTGCGACGACTGGGTGGGAGAAGCCCCCCCAAATCGATTGAACGTGATACTTCACTGCTTCATCTTGCACCTTGAGGTTGGGTGCGAGAGAGAGGCTTTGCTTCACTACTTCAAGTGGCTTTGTGATGATTTGGAGATGGGCAACCACCCAAAATATGTCTGAGTCTTCTTTTTTTCCTATCAAAAACAGAGGTCCATGTCTGGGTTCCAGCTAGAGTCGTTTGGGCCTCCTTCCTTTGGCCCCCTCTTACGTTGGTGGACACCTCACGGATCGTTCGGTACTTGGATGCGGCTCCGATCCGTGCGCACAGAGCCAAACAGTGCATGGGACACCTTTTTCAAGCACTTCAAGGTATATATTATATGGATGGACTGTCTGGGATATATCAAAAATATACCAGGGCCCCCTGGATAGGGGGTGGTTAATGGACATGCCTTAACCTCTAAGGAGCTATAATAGGACACCCCTAACAGGGGGCCCGGGTATCGTTTGACTCCAGCAAGGACGTTCGAGCGGACGTCCAAAGACTTCGGACTTGTACGAGCAAGGACCTTCCAAGTTTTTGGACGGCTCACCTCTTGGAAGGTACTGGTAGTCACCTCATTTTGCCGAGGACCCCCTTCCAGTGCCAGTCCCAAGTCCTCTGGGCATAGCGCCACCGATGCTACTCCGATGCTGTGCCACCAATGCTTCGTGCGACGAGTGACGTGGAACAAAGGAGGAGCCATTGCGGAAGCAGCTCCGGCAGGTCCAGCAGCCTCTCAGCAGATGTGGTGAAGAAAAAGGGGAATGTGGCGCAGGATTTCTGTAAGGGAGAAGGTGACATCATCCATCCCAAACTCCATGTATGGAATAGTACACATTTACTGTACCCTATGTATGACATTATGACCCTAATGTAGAGCCAGTCTTGTGGATGATCCGGGCTTGCAGAATTGGATTTTGGGTGTTCTTTGTCACAGCCTCTGCTGAACTGCCTTTTGTCCAGAGATACTCCCAACAAACCTGTCTTATTCCGGTGCTCGTCTGACGGTGTTTTAACCTCTGTATACGCAGACTTATGTTAAGCAATGGCAGCCATACATGACCAACGATCAAATAACAAATTTTGTGAAAAAAGCGAAACAATGCAAAACAAAAGCAAATGAACATGCAAAAACAATGCAATTTGCTTTGTTTTTTCATTTTTCTTTTTTACTGGCACCACTTCTGCACTTATGATAATTTTTACCCGTCAGCAATATTCGCTGTACGCTCCTAGGAAAAAAGCGAAACAACAGCCAAAACCATGTGAACAAAAATGTGAAAATAGAGCGACAAAAGAGCGACAATAGAGCGAACAAAAACAAGTGAAAAAGAGACAACAACAAACATGCAAAGCTACTTTTTTTTGGTTTGCTTTACTTTTGCTTGGAACTAAAAAACTATTTTGTCTCCTTGTATTTATGGCTGGCGTGCCGAACATAAACCCAGACCATCCATGTGTGAAACAGTTACCTACATTGGAGACACAAATGAAAGGGGTCAATGTCTGGGATACATGACTTTACACTATTTTATAAGCTATTGGAATTCAGAAGCATAGAGAAGCGTAGGACTGGAATCTGGACCGATTCGTTGGTCATTTGGCCCAGGGTCCATTGTGGGTCATACATTCCAGTCCGGATGGGGTCAGGATCCGGTCCTAACTTAGCACACTTCACTGAAGATCTGGCTTCGAAGATCCGGCGGTCGCTACCACAAGGACTCCGGGCAATTCTGGGAGAAACCACGCCAAACGGAACAGAAGAAAAACACACCCTTCGAACTGGATTTCCAGCAAACGCTCATCTTGCATCGGACTGTTTCGGCTTCGGAAGGGGTGCTATGGCTGCACAATGGGAGGTCCGGGAGAGTTCATTTTTCTACCTACCTACACTGCGCACTACATGTCAAAGGAGAGAAAGATGGCCTGGATGGACTTCTGACCTGGTTGCACCACCCGACCTGCTTGGTGAACACGTCTTACGCTGGGAGAATGCTAGGAATGGATCGGTTTTTGGGGAGCGCAAACGAAGAGCTGGATCGACCAAGCAGATCTTGGAGGCCACGACCCCCTGGGTTCGGTGGAAATAGACCAGTCTACACATCGGTTGGTACACTGGACACTGGCCACCACCTGTGTGGCAGGTACTACACTGCAAAGGCCAAAAATACCCATCGGTTGGAGGTCTCCCTATTGCCACGCCACATCGGTGGAGATTCCATTTGAGCCACGCCGGCCACCTCGACCGATTCTTCACTTCTCTCGCCTTGCTCGTGGTGCAACTCTTTGGAGCGCCTCGATTGGCTCTGGCTCGCCTCCCACGCGACGGTCTGACACAAAAGGATCATAGCCACATCTTGCCCTTTGAGTTTTCGAAAGCACATGTTCACCAAATGGTCTTTTTCAAGAGAAGGCGAACGGAGATCTTCTCGGTCCGTCGGCCCGAGAAGGCCCGCCCCTGGATCGACGGTCCCCTTCGTCCGCAGCGACACTGTCCATGCCCGTCCTTCGTCCGTCCACTTGCTTTCCACCTCCCCAAAGCATCCGACTAAGAGGTCCAGTGGAGTGTACGACTGTACCCCTTCATTGGGGAAAAACGACAATCCCCAGACATCCATAGGCCTAAAAGAGTTCTATCTATTGGATCTATCAGTCCTATTAATGCCATTAACAGTGGATCAATGATGATGGTTATTAAAGGCCTTGTTCAATCATCATGACCATTCTTTTGCAGGTCCTGTTACAGGTTTCCGTTCTTTCTATCTACATTTACCCCACACGAAGAAAGGACATGTTTTTCCATCCATGGCCGCTGGTCACTCACTCTTCCACCTGTACAGTGCCTCGACGCCTCCGGCCTTCGGAGTCGCCTTCCTCTTCGGAGTCGCCCGCCACACGCGGGTGCACCGCCGCCTAGAGCGACTGACCGACCGGTGGTTTGGAGTGCCTCTTGGGTGCCGGAAGTGGTTTCCTTGGCCCAACGAACCCCCGGTTTCTGAACAAATACAGGTTTTCACATGCAAGCGCCGAAAACCTGGCTCTTGGTCAAACCAAGAGCCAGGTTTTGGGCGTTTGCCTTCGAGTAAACCAGAGTTTTTGGATGGTGTGTGGGGCCCCTGGAAGGAAGACTTCTGTGACTTGTAGCCTATAGATGCTTAGCTAGCCCAGAATGGGTCAAGGGGAAGCTAAGGATCCTTCTGTTGGAAGAGAAGGGCCTTGTGACATGCTCCCAAAAACCGATTGGCAGGGTCCGTTGGATAGTTGATTGAAGGATTGATATGGGTTGATGGTATTCCAGGACCTTCCAACAGGTGGTTTTGGGACACCCCGAATCATCTCTAAGAGGCTATTGATTGACACTTCTTGGAGGGTCCTGGTTGATGATTGGAGACATGCTAGGTTTGAATCCACAAATCCCTCCACCGCGCTATCAGCTCATTTCTCCTGCGAACGGTGTAGCGCACCGACTTGTGCCTTCCACCGAGCCTCCCATCAGGGTCTGGGAGGGTTTGCGTGGCTGCTTGGATCTGTTGCTACTTATTGACATCAATGGGCAATCACGAAGCCACCATCGAGTTGTGTGAAACCAACCCACGAATCAGGAAGATGAAAACACATTCCACCAGCCCCCAACACCTTCCCAGTGACCTTTAAAACACCTTTTTTATCTAGGTGACCTCATGCCACTGCAGGAAGCTCCAGCTCTGTTTCTTGGTGCCAACAAAGCGGTCTATCAACCGACGAAGTCACCCACGAATTCATCGGACGTTGAACCGTGAAAAGTGAAACTTGGATTTGCTGTCCAGGAACCTGGAAAAAATGACAAACACATTCGCCAGACAGAAGGGGATTGAACCAGTTCGGGAAAAAATAACGTAGCATCTGCAGTTCACCAGTGAATTCACCTGCCTCACGTTCCAGCTCCGCGACCTCCTCGCGCAGCTTGATGGCACGTGAGAGCCTCAGGTGACCCGGGTGGCTGAAACAGATGTATCGGGTAGGACGGCCATATGTGTGTTCTCTTCAATCGAATCTGTTCTTTTGCGAGGAAATTGATCTTTCTGTATCATAACCTGTGGCACCCAGAGTGCCCAGTAGGCAATGCATATGGTGCCACTTTTTAGTAGTTTTCTGGTTGTAGATAACCAAATAGCGTGTGTATGTTAGGATCCTCGAAACAGTTAATTTGATCAAATGGCCAATCTTGATTCGGAGTTTCAAAAGCTTCATCATTTCTATCCCAGACCATCCATAGGACTGGAACAGCCACCCCAGAGTATCCATACAGAAAAGGGTCTTTCTACTGCCAGCCATCTTCTACCATGCTCCTGGAGAACCGCGCCGCCCTACTCAACTCAGTTGTCCAATGCAACACCTATGGTCACTTGGATTCCACCGCTGCTCTGCGGATTCCTGACATCCCACATCCATCGATCTTCGCAACAAACCACACCTTCGACTTGCTTAATAACAACCAATCTCCAGAAAGGGATTCACCCATAGGGAAACATAGGTAATCCTAAACAAAATCCGGTTGGGGTACCCCCCTTGGAATTCGACCTTGCGGATGTGTTTTTTGAGGAAACCCACCCTGTGCCAACTTGTCGTTCCCTAAAGAATTTGAATCCATCAAAAATGAAGCTCAACATACAAATTGTAAAAAGATAAGATCCTTCCAACCCAGGGAAGATGACGCAATCATGAACCTCTTGCTAATGGTGGCAGCGTTTGGCCCTGCTCGTACTAAACTGCTCACTGGGGGTAGCTATACAAAAAATATCGGTTCCATCCTCGTAAAACCTTCGGGTGATTGAATGGTGTTCCAGGCAGTCACTGTTGAGAGATAGCCACGCAAGAAGGCAGCCAAACACACATCTTGCCTGCTGGGAACGTGCCATACACTGTCAGATCCAGTGCCTTATCGGCTATGAGTTCTGGTGGTGGAATGTCTTGTCTGGACAAATCCCTCAAATAAATACCAATCGCTGAACCAGGATGAACAGATGAGCGCACGTGATTTTAAAAAACATATGAAAAACGGCCGCCCAGCCCATCCCGAGAACCTGACTGACACCCGCCGCAGAACGTCACTGTGCAAGCATTCCCAAGCACGCCCGTGCCAAAACCCCAACGGCAACCCCACGTGCATCCACACGGCCGCTCGTGTGTGGCAGCTGTATGCCTTCTTCTTCGGCGGGGGCGCGATGAAGAATGTTGTCACGCGCCGGCAGCTGATAGTAAGGAGATTTTGAGGCTGCAAGGGCACTAGTTCACCTTGCAAAGACATTTTTGTTTGGGTCAGAAGCCCTGGGCAACATCGCGTGCAACGTCAACAAAACTGACGCAAAGGCGCATCAAACTTGGAAGCCCTCTCGTTCACTGAGGAACTCTGGCCACATGGCCTATCCTTGCAATCTCTTCCCAATCCTTGAGAAGCATGGGATCACTGGGGAGGTCCACAATGTGTTTCTTGGGCCGGTCCACCTTTCGGATGGCCCGCAAGATCGCCTTGAAACGGCGAACAACATCCAGCTTATTGCAATGCTCCACGTCCAGTCCACATGTTTGAGCAGCTCTCAAGACTTCCTTCACAGCTTGTTCGCTTGGTAAGTGTAAGCCGATCTTTACTTGAAGGGAAGCGCCAAAGGTCAATTTTCAGCTCTTTAGGAAAGAATTCTGGCTCAGGCGGATCAAGCATTGCGGGATCTTCTACGGATGTTGGGGAATATGTGATCTCAGGCTTATCTTCACTAGCTCCTGACAGACCCCTTCGAATTCTATACGCTAACTACCCACCAGCTCAGGACTCGGGGTATCATACCTGATGGAAACAGGCGCTCTTGGCTCAGGCAGACGGAGGACGGGGCTGCTTGGATGTCAACCTGACAGCCGCAGCTGTTGCATGGCTTTGGGCTTGGCACAGTCTTAGACTTGGGTGCTCTCAGCCTTGCTTCTTGATCACGAAGCCACCGGATGTATCGATCAATGCGCTTTCTATCATGTTGGCGACCATGAAAACTATCCTTCTGGCAAAGTGCACACTGTACACCAATCGGTGACACCAAGAGTGCGAATGAATCCATTCTGTTGTAACATTCTTGATACGATCGATATCCTTAATTCGAATCATTGGGCCTGGCAGTGGTGGCAAGGCAATCCTAGGTTCTGACAGGCCTCCGAACGATTCTTGGCATTCACTTGCCAAGGCTTCTTTGGATTGCTTCGATCGAAGCGCATCAAAAAGGACGATGCCAAGCTGACATCGAATGTGATTGGTGTCAAAAGCTTGATGCTCTTAGCAGTCTTAGCAATGAAGACTTTCTCAACTCCACCTAGCATGCTACAACATGCATGGCCCAAAGAATTAGACTCTTTGGAAGACATTCATTGCTTTCGCAAACCTAGAGCCTAGAGATGGAAAAAAGTGAGTTTTACGAGTGTCCAGGACTGATGAAAGCAGATTGTAGCAAACACAGCAGTAGGACAAGGCAGCGTTGAACTCTTGCATTCTTTGGTCATTGGTGTTGGACGTGGCATTTGCGAGTGACATCTCAGTCTCCAATCCAATGGACATCTTTGTGATGTTCATCGGTGTGGTCGCTTTGGTTGTGTAATCCAGATCTGTGACATGATGAAGATCAAGGCTCCGCTTGTCCCGCCTCTGAGCTGACCGCTCAGGTTGTCGGATGTGAGCTTCGCCTGGTCAATGTGAACCACAGTATCTTTCTCACCCACATAGCACCCTACCTCCGCATGACCAATGGTCTGATGAGATTGAGGTGGTGCCTTCATCAAAGCAACTTCTGAGCCAAGGTCCAAGTTTCTCTAGACAATTGACCAGTCAATCCGGAATCTGTGAGGATTTCAAATCAGACTTGTGATTCACCCAACAAGTCAAAATCACCCAACTGTGGAGCCAAGACTTAATTAGTCTTCGCTAAGGACGAAACGGAACACAGCCTGTCATACCGGCGGCGACATCCACCGAGATCAGAATCAGAGAAATAAGGCGAAATGTGCAGCCATCTCTGAAGAGATGTTGTCTTTGTTTCGACGACTCTCCCATTTCGGTTCCTGTCCACACGAATCTTAGGGTTGCTGCGGCGTGGATGGATTCGTCAAGACCTGGGACAGCCATCCTTTCGACAGGTACTGCGCTTTTGGGATTGGGCTCATATCTATTGGGATCTACCTCTCTCGCGGCAAAACTTTGACTAGATGATCTCTTTTGCGCCCTCAGGCCACCGACAACGTTTTGGTCAACGCGTCGCGGGATGGCGAACTTTGAGGCTCAAACGCGGAAGGGTTAATACACAGTTTCGGGTGAAACGTCTGAAGGCAATTCTTCTTCAGCTTTCCGCTCAGCGGCCACCAACAGAGGATCATTGGGACCATCAATAACATTACCTGATGAGTCAAAACGAGCTCGGCACTCACTGCTCCTGGAACTCGACTTTTGCCCACTGCTTGAAACGGTTTTCGATGAATCGTGCCGTCGTCCCTGTCATGAAGTACCCTTGGCGCATTCTGCCACATGACAACCCTCAACTTGTAATCGCCAAAGGTTTCTCCCACATCAGGTCCAGGACTACCCAACGACCATCCTTTTCTGAGAAGACCATCACTAAGAACACAGGGGCATTGGCCGCAAAGGCAGCTACAAGACATTCCTTCCGAATTTCGCTGGTGGGATCTCGCGACGCACACTATGTCACCTGATGCGGACTCAAGACTGGCCTCACCTCGAGATTGTTGAAGTGACACCGTATGTGCACCTCATTTTCATGCAGGGAATGCTGACTCACAACAGGGCTGAGGCCTGTGAGTCTATCAGCCACCGGTACACGTCGTCAACTCGAGTACTGGGATATTTTGGCTTGATATTTGGCAGCAATACCATTGGTTTGCGCGTGAGCATTAAGTTCCAATGAAGTCTGATGAACTTGTTCCCAAGCTCTAATGGTGGAGAACTGCCCACAAACAAAATCATGCATGTTTGACACCACTTGTTTATATGTATATATATATACAAATATGTGTGTACTTATATATATGTGTGTACATGTAGATCGACTTCCACAAGCTCCTGGATGTCCACGGTGCTCTCGAAGTCAAGCATGGTCTGCAAGGAAGATGAAGGAAAAGTGCTCGTGAACGAACTCAACTCAAAGGCGCTGCAGCACGGGCGGCCGTACTTGGAGTCAGTGATGATTCACTCGGACGCTCGGCATGTGACGGCGAAACTTCACTATCAGGATGGGAGGCATACGAAACGAATTCATGGATATAGCCTTTCCCACTCTTCTTGCTCTTGCCTCCAGTTTTTCCATCAGCCGCTTGGCGACCCTTGGAACCCTTTGGGTTGCTTGGTGGCTTCTCAAGGGGAGGCAAAGGATTCCCATCTTTTTCTTTCTTAGCCCTGTAGCTTTGATAAGGCCCCTTTCTACTGCACCGAAACCAAACTGCCTGTTTCTCCTTCTCGCTTTTCTCTCTCTCTTTTTTAAGCATTCTCTTTGGATGGACTGGACAGCTCCGAACGATTGCCCCTCCCTTTGGAAACTGTGGGAGGTTGTATTCCCACCGATCTCGGACCAAAGGCGTTGGCCTGTGTCATGCTTCATGGCGGCAGCTTTCCAATCCTCATATGTGTCCGAGGCAATGCATAGTCACATACTCGCGAACTTGAGTTGGCAAGGATCATCTCAAAAGCAGCATCCACAGATCACACGATGGCAAAGTCAATCCATCACGAAAACCGGTCAAAGGCAAGATGCTCATCAACTTGGCACACCATAATTCCTCAGATTTACAAAGCTTCTTGCTTTCAAGACAGACTTGTCCAAACAAACTGCTCTGAAAGTGCAAAACTCTTGTGCAACAAGCCTCGAGGCTTCATAGCAGTTCTTTTCAGCTGGACTGGGAGATTCAACATAGGCCAAAGGATGGTTCAAGCTTTTGGCACATGATTGAAATCTGTCGCAGCATGGAGATCTGGAAAAGCCTCAAGAGATTTGCTCAGCGCAAGCGAACTGTGCTCAATGGCTGTGGATGTCACATGGAATCGAATCTCTCGCGCAAAGCTCTCGGAAATCAAGCCGACCCAACTTGCAAAGCTCTCAACCCAAGATTCATATCCTAACATTTCATCAGTGCGACCTTTCCAAGAACGAACACCTAACCCTGGAAGGGCAGGCAATCACATGTCGCTCTCTGCAAAGCATCCAGTGTCACCGAGCCGATTAATTGTGACGAGCTTGATTGACCTGCAATCTTTGCTGGCACCGCACCTGGAGTAATACCTAAAGGAGTCTCCTTTCAATCTGGCAGAAAAATCTTGGGAACTCTGGAAATCGATGCGCTCGGATTGGCACCCGATGGCGCTTGACTCTCAGAAGCTGGCTTGGGCATAGGAATCTGAGTTGGCTCAGGCTCCATGCCGGTTTGAAAAGGACTAGATCGATCGGCTTCGAATCCTTGGGAGACGGTGGTGAAGTCACAGGAACATGAACAGCTCGTGCACAAGTGCTGTCAACAGCATGTTGTCGCTACAACTCGGCAATCGTCTGCCGCTGACCCCGTTGTTGTGCCTCAACAGCATTGGCCAAAGTGCTAATCTCCTGGATCTGACCTTCAAGGCGAATGCTCGCAGCTGGCGGCATTGTGGAGATTGGTGGAGCCTTTGCAAAGGCCGGCATCGACGCATGATGTCCACACTTCGGAGATCGACGTCGTCCGGACTCGAACCATCACTCCAGCAAATCGGGTGGATGTGAACGCGAACAGAGACTGTTCTAGCCGTGTCTTGGTGACCTGGATGACCCTTGATACAAACCTTTGGAGCTTATGGATCCGAAGCTCCGCTACCATAATGGGGTGCTTCTACTTGCCAAGACCCTCTCCTACCCGATCGGACCTCGCTCCTTTTCCCATGGGCTATGCAACGAATGGTCCATGGTGTGCGTCTTGAGCCACGTGTAGTGGCGAATGCGAAGGCTTGAACCTAGCTTACAAGGAACATCCCTCTATGGGACTCAGGATCATGGTGGATTGAATCACCTGCCATGAACAAAGCTGCAAAGATGAATTGGAAAATGGTAGCTCAACTGGACTGAACCGTGGTTCGAACTTTCAACACAAAACGGTTCCCCCCAAACAATACCCAAATAAATCTTGCCAGAAATACCACGGAAGAAAGACACGCACGCACCTGACCACGCACCCAATACCACCGTGGTCACAACCGTTTTTTCCAAGCCTCTGAGGGTCGTGCCGATACGGTGCCCTTGCTTTTCTTTCTTTAGGGCTCCAACTATATCCTCACAAGGTGGTTAGACCCCCCAAAGCCACCCCAAGCACCTTCTCAGGAGCTAGTTGGAGCCCTATAGAGGCTTCATACCCAAACACTCCATCAAATTAGAACATATCACCATATATAAACTAGTTTACGATTCCTGCACCATGGATTCTTGCACCATCCCCAATGGTCACCTTCCAGATGCGACTCCCCCGAGTGCGACCAGTGGACGTGCTTTCGTGCCTCCCCACCCTCGAGACGTCCCGCCACCAATCGCCACCCATCGCCATGGCACAGCTGCTCGGCTCTCTCCTCGTCGAGGCCTAACAACCACCCCGTCAGAAGGATGAAAATAAGAACCGGAGAACCTCAACGGGACATGTTAACGTGATGAAACATGTCAACGGTTAGTTAGGCCGAAGCATTTTTCATGTTTTGCAAGGGGACAACCTCAAAGTTGCATCAAAGGACATGCCAAGCGAAAAGGTGGATGGTAATGGAGTGATAGCAAATGAGGCCAGACTGGACGAGTGCCAGGTCAAAACCCCACATGAACCCCCCCCTTCGCCGCTCTTCATGGACACCAAAGCCAGCAAGTTCATGAACCTCTGCAACTCACCCTCCCAATTGCCTCCCAGTTGACAACTCAAAGTGTCTCCGTCACCATCGCAAAACCCGTCACCATTGAGCGGCTCGATGTCAAACCCGTTTGGTGGTGGTCCGACCGGCTCCGACGGGCTCGCTGCGGATGGCTCTCACGTCGCTGCGGATGGCGGATCCCAACGGACTGGAAGAGTTACGCCAATCCAGTGGGACTGGGTCATGTTTGCATGGGGTAAATACTAAATTATGATCATCCTTTTTCATTGGAAGATATTATTATTGGAGAGTCCACTGGATGACACAATTACATATAGTAAGTCTATTTACCAAACTATGATGATCAAATGCACATCACTCTTCCAGTCCACCTGGATGCTCTGGGGATTCGTTCGTTCCCCCTGACGCTCCGACCTCGACACTCTGAGACCCCGACCTCGACATCGCACACGCTGCGACATCCCTCGCACACACACGCGGCCCGCGAGCAGCCCTAGCACGGCCTGGACGGGGAACGGCGCTGCAACGGTTCCAACGGTTGGAGCTTTTGAGCTTGACATCTGTGCCATCTACTCTCAGTCCATACACGACCTCCTCAGCACTGAAGCGCTCACTTACTTAGTAAATGTTCACATTTCTCCAACGCTCACATCTGTCACTTGAGACCGCGAAACCGAGGAGAGCTCCAAGCCTGTAGAGAGCTCCTGCGTAGTGAGGACCTCGGTGAAAGAGCCGCAGGTCCAAGCGCGGCCGCGCGGGTTCATGCTCGTTGGCTGTTCCGATGAGGAGAGGGAAAGCGGATTGGAATTCTTGAGTTCATCCAACAACAGGTCCCTTTATATCCTACAGTATTACTTATCCTTCTCCTATTATATACATCGAAATCCGGCACACTGGAAGAAGCTCTCTGGAAGGTATAGAATGCCTTACAACGCACTTTGAGTGTGGGTTCTTGGACACGTTGTGCTAAGGGCTGCTGAGGCTGGCCTCCTCCCACACTTAGGGACACCAAGCTCTTCTCTCACAGATCGCCTCTTTTGCGCGAAAACGGTAATGCCTCGAAACTCCATGGCCCAGACCAGACCAAACGAATGGGTCAGGAATAGTTACATACCTTTAGCCCATCTAAAGGACCCATCCGTGGGATGGTCAGTATTCCATCCAGTCCCAATGGAGGGTCTGTGTCTGGATGGCACCGGTGATCTGCGGTGGAGCATGAGTTAGGAAGTGCAGGGGAGCAGGCTGTGGAGGGGAGGTATCAACGTGGAACCCCAAACAACCAGAAACAAATGGTTGTTTTAACAGGGCAATTGAGATCCTTTACATAGCAAGTGGTTGTTGGTGGAAACATCCATTAATTTCTGGTTGTTTGGGTTTCCAGGAATGTATATCCCCTTCAGGCTGAACCCTGGAAAAGACTGAAGGGTGCGAACAGCCCACGCACTGGCCCACGTCTGTGTCCTGCCGTGGTCGGAACAAGTTTCTGTTCCCAATCCGATTAGGTCCCGAGATGGGTGGTTCAAACAGGAAAGACACTGGTCACTGGACAACCAGGCTTGCAACGCAAAAGGGCGCGCACCCCTTTCTGCTGCTTCGCTTTTAGTAGGGAACCCCACGGAACCCCAAAACGTTGAGGATTGGCCGCTTACTGGGTAGATGGGAGGACTTCAGCGTTTCACTTTCCACTTGAACTAGACAGTGCACCTAAACCCGACAGGTTCTGCCTGGGCTCATTCTCCCACTGCCAAGGCCACTGCTGTGACTTCCTTCCAAAGAAAGCACCTGCGATCTGCAGCAAAGCGAGGATGAAGAATCAATACAATCAAATTGCTGGATCAGGATGGATCCCTGCAAAGATCATGCAACACCAAGCCGCCCATATTTCGTCCTCCTCTGCATTGTGTCACAACTCGCACGGGAAGTTGGGTCTTGGCTGGCGGGAACAGCTTTCCACAAACAGTTTGGACCGGTCCCAGGCCGGTCCGTCTCTCTGTCTGCAAGCATGGGACCGCAGCCCTGGAGCCCCGGAGGTGTGTGCGGTCCGTGCGGCTCCGGCTCCGTGTCGGGACTGGAATGTGTGTATGCCACACTGAATCCACTACTGCATCCTTTGAAAACCATCCCAACTGATCGGTCACATATGCCAGTCCCAAACAGGTCGTGTCTGGGATGAACATATTCCAACATGCCCTTCTGGTTGGATCACGCTCCGCCCAACATGCCCACCGGTGGCGCCGCCGGCTGGAAGTCAGGTCTTTCGGGACCGTTCCCTATAATTAGGCCTCCAGGAAAGTACCTTGGTTTCGGTGACGGGACTGGGGTGGGTGCCAGGGTCCAAACCCACCAAACCTCCGAATGTATATCTTCGGACCCTCCGGGCACTGAGCACCCACCCCCGGTCCCACCATCACCGAAACGAAGGTACTTTCCTGGAGCCCAAAAAGGCTTGGACTTTTGGACTGTCTGCAGACCCACCAGCGCCAGGAGTGCGAAGCTCTATACAATTCTTAGACTTGCTTGTTTCGGAAGACGGGAATAAACATGTCACATATTAATCCCCAGGTTCGGTTAGGGGATTCACCCAGTTTGGGAAAATCCATCAAAATCCCCTCAAGCAAGAACCAGGACTTGGTCGCTGATGGATCATGAGGTCCACTCTGGAGGTCTCACGACCGGTTCGGATGGTTCGGACGGTGGCCGAATGAATCACGGATGGGCTAAGAGGCCGGCCCAGCTCCAATGTCCTTCTTGTTTGAAGGATGTTCAAGATGTTCCAAGACAAGCACTACTATAGCACTGGACCAACCCAGCCACCTGATTCGTTATCGCCCGAACACACCAGCGGTCCGGCCGTGTGCCCACCTCCTCTCGCCAGTCTCGGTCCGGCCGTGCCACGCACCGTGGACGCACACGGCAACCTGGCACCAACCGGTTCGGGAATTCAATCAGTCCGGTCCCGGTCTAACCTGTTTTGCAGCTCCTTTGGGATCGGAAGGTGATCCATGTACTTCAGTCACCAACAGTTCCCGAAAAACGGGGGCCTCCAAGCATAGAGCTTGGTTTTCCGTGCGGAACATGGCTTTTCAATCTGCCGTGGCATGTCTTCCGTTCTGTGGCATGTCTTCCCATGTGTCAATTTTACAGGAAAGAGGTCCTGAGAGGTGCTTTGAAACATCACCATGAACACCCCCCCAAATAAAACCGATAGAGCACATGGAGGTCATCGGATGCCATTTCTTTTGACATGCAAAGATGCAAGAAAGAGCACCACATCGGATGCTTCTTAGACACCCCGAATCCCAACTCCGTCCTTTCAAGACAGATCGACACTTCACCACACTTCGCGGTGAAGCCTCTATTCCCAGACGCTCTGTGGTTTGGGGGGTCAATGTATACATGGAGTGTATATGGCATACACGGAGGGCATACATGGAGTGCATGGGATTGCTTTTCGATCACCCCGTTTTGGAACCCACGAAGTCGAGCGGTTCACTGCCAATCTTTTCGCCGGAATTAACACGCGGCTTTCAGCGTGGAGGCGTCCCACGGTGGGATAGTGGAAGATCGGTGTTCGGTGGAAGCCAAGCAGCACGGCACGGCCTAGAGCCCACTCGTTTGACATATTCCCCCTACAGATGGACCTTGTGGTTTCGAACAGTTTCCGAATTCTAACCGTGCTATTCTGCAGGGGAATATGCCTGTCAAGAACACTTGGGCCGGGTCAGAATTACAGGTTTTGCAGGAGAAAACAGTGGCACTGGCACTGCTCAAAGAAAGGGCTTCCTATCTGACCGTTTTGGATAGCAGGATTGTCGAAGAACGCAATGAAAGATATCATATCTGGTGCAAGCTCTGACTTGGGCATTGCTTCAAACAAACTCCAAGCTTTCTGCCATTGCCCGCCCTTTGCATAGGCACTGATGGCTGCGTTGTAGCTAATGACGGTTTGCTGAACTTGCTTGTCCGACATTGCATTGAATAACATTAATGCTCCTTGCCAATGCCCACCCTTCTCACAGGCACTGATGGTGGTATTGTAGCAAATCACATCTGGCTTATCGTCTGTCCTAGTCATTGCATGAAACAACCAAATGGCTTGCTGCCATTGCCCAAGCTGCTCACATGCACTTATCGTAGCACTATAGGTGATGACATCGGGTTGAATGCTTGCCTCTGGCATGGCTTCAAACAAATGTAGTGCCTGTTGCCATTGCCACCCCTTTTCACAGGCACTGATGACCGCACTGTAGCTAATGACATCCTGCTGAACTTGGGTCTTTGGCATGGCATCAAACAACACCAACGCATGCAAGTATTGTTCACTCTTTCCACAAGCTCTCATGGCGGTGTTACAGGCCATGGTGTTCGGCGAAAGCTTGGCTAGCGAGATGGCTTCGAAGAGCAACATCGCTTGCTGCCATTTCTTGGCCTTTTCACATCCGCTGATGGCTGCAGAGTAACTCAGAATATCTGGCTGAAACTTCTCTTCGTACATGGCCATTAAAACACTCAGTCCCAACTGCCATTGCCCACCCTTCTCAAAGGCACTTATGGCCGCGTTATAACTGACAAGATTTGGCTGCACTTGGTCCTCAAACATTCCTCCAAGTAGTTTGAGTGCTTGCTGCCATTGCCCACTCTTCTCGCAAGCACTGATCACAGCACTGTAGCTAAAAACATCCGGCTGAGGGGATGATTCCCGCATCATCTCGAACAAAGTCAACCCTTGCAGCCATTGGTTGCCCTTCTCGCAGGCACTAATGGCTGCATTGTAGCTGAACACATTCGGCTGCACCTTCGCCTGCACCATGCCAGACAGCAAGCTCAATGCTGTCTGCCACTGACCACCCTTCTCACAGGCGCTAATGGCTGCACTGTATGTGATGACATTTTGCTGAACTGCCGCCTTCGGCATGACAGCGAACAACCTTAATGCCCGTTGCCATAGCTTGGATCTAGCACAAGAAGAAATCCCCAGTGAATAATCGGCCGCCTCGAGTTGCATTCGAGCATCGTCTAGTCTGATGTCTTCCAGAATTGCAAAAGCGAGCTCACCTTGGAAATCGCAGATCATTTCATTGAAGGACTAAGGACACACGTAGAAGGGGATGTCCAATATACCCACCTTCGGCTGGTGGGACCATAACTGACTCCCAAGCTGGCCATGGGTGTGTATTTGGGAGACCGACCCCCTGTGAACGTTTTGCCTGGAAGAAGGATTTCATAGACCGGTCTAGCCATTGGGCCAGGTGGTCTCCTGGATTTCAAAGAAAAGGTGCACCGAACTCCACCTGTTCCATCTACCATACTGTCGGTGTCCGCGACTCTCTGGTCTGACACAGACCAGAAGCAAATTAAGAACACCGAAGAGAAAGCAAATCTGTTCATCTTTTGCGGGGACACTCATCCCTCAAAAGGGCTAGAGGTTATCCACCGACTGGGTAGGAGGAGAAATAAGCAGGCCAACGTTTCCTGGTCGTAAACCTATATATAGTATAGCTAGAATAAAGAACTACTATATTAAAAACATATTAAAGCCATAGGTATCATAGCATACTTGTGCAAGGAAAAAAGGAGACTCAAGCAACTGACAGGTCGCCATGTCTGTTCTGGACGCACATCTTCAAGAAATCCTGAAGAACGTATCCTTATCACTCAGGGAGGCAAACGATGTGTCCAAGTCCACGGGCACTTTTCTGCATCCAATGAGTGGGGAAACGGTGTTTTACCTATACCAGCACCACGGAGTAAGGGTGTTTATTGGGGAGAAAGTACATCGTCATTTCATTCAGGCATGTGTATAACACAACCACTTAAAAAGACTCCGTGGTGTTGGTAGCTGGTTCCTCTGGTCCCGGTGATGGACAACAAGCATCCAACAAGTGCAGTCAGACCTTGCGATCGACCTGGGCTCACGCGACGCGGAAGAAGAACGGCCCAGTGGTGCCTCCCACCGGTACAGCAAGCACCCGGGTGCGGACCTTGATCCTGCAGACCAATGCTGCGGACCACCCAGGTTTTTAGTAGCTGGTATTGATTAGACGTCAACATGTTTTTTTCTTTTTCTGGAGGGTCCTTATGTCGCTTATGTGGTCCCGCTTCGAAACTCGAGACCGCCAGGAGTCTGCTGGTGACTTTCTCGGACCACTTGTGCAGCTCTTCCTGTGAACTTCTTGCCGCTCTTCCTGTGCAGCTCTGGCACTTCTTTTCGCGTCTGGCTCTGCATGCCGTCCACGGTGCACTGTGCATACGCCTTGGTCTTTCGATTGTGCTCGGCGTGAAGAACCTCTCACGAGAGGTCGCGATAACCATGAGGCAAATACAGTGGTTTCAGAGTATATTAGATGGCACAGACCTCAACACATTCTTATCGTCCTTTAAGATAAGGGTCCAAGTAAACCACCTAACTCGGGGATTGTGCCCTCTACTCTGAAACCATCGATGGCATGGCCCGCATTGCGCCGCCTGCGCCCGCGCCCTGCTCGCCCGCTGCGAGCCGAGATCAATGGCCGAAGGATCGGAGTGAAGATGGATCGCGCCGATGCGCAGCGGCCGAACGGAGCGATCGCCGCGGTTCGGCATCGCTTCTGGTTGAATGATAAACCCATCTTCTTGGAGAGCTTGAACAACTCCAACAAAACCATACAACCATACACAACCTGTGGTGGACGTGAAAGCTCTCCCAACCCCACCAGGCTTGGAAGACTCCCTGGTTCAATCTGAGGTGGAATCGGACTTCGCGTTCCGTGGGCGGCGAGCGAGCTTGCGTCCCGAAGCTGGATTCCAACTCCAACCACCTCGGAACGATGGGGGCGGATTGGGAGAAGACGAAGCTGCTCAAACCATGGGTGCCCGTGGTGGAACCCAGAACCAAAACCATTCCCACAGAACGAGGGAATGAGAACGGCAGAACTGTGTGGCACGTGTTGGTCCAAACCCCTGAGATTGTGAATGTGTACAGAAGGTTTGGTGGTTCACCCAAGCACCAGCTCTCACCCCCAAATTCTTGCTGCAACATGGTTGGAGTTGGCAAACTCTCCAAGAACAACCAGCCACGAAGTCAAGGATGGCAACGGCTAAACATGAAAGAACCATGACAACACCACTTTGTGGGCAACTGGCGAGCAAGCCGGCACGACATTTTGCACTGGCGAGCCGTGCGAAAAAAGGCTGCACCACTGAAGCTCGAGGATACTCGAAACTAGTGCGGGCAAGCACGGACCGGGCTTGAAGGAAAACCATGGACGGGGCGCCAATGGTCGGGCTTCCCATATTCCGCTGACCAAGAGCCTGAAAGAAGGCACTCAAAAACTAGATCTTCTGCTGACCCATGACTAACAGCATTGAGCGTCTGGGACTTAGAGACTTAGAGGTGCCCACCTTTGTCCACAGGAAACCAATGTAGAATGGCGGACGCACGGCAGTTTGCTTCAAAAAGGTGAGGCAGAAGCTCATCTGGAAACGGACCGTGAAAAGCATAGGTTGCGCATGAGGAGTGCATGGCACTGCTCATAAAAGGGGCTTCCGATCTGACCGTTTTGGATTGCAGGGTTGTCGAAAAATGCCATGAAAGATATCATGTCTGGTGCAAGCTTTGATTTTGGCATTGCTTCAAACAAACTCCAAGCTTTCTGCCATTGCCCGCCCTTTGCATAGGCACTGATGGCTGCGTTGTAGCTAATGACGGTTTGCTGAACTTGCTTGTCCGACATTGCATTGAATAACATTAATGCTCCTTGCCAATGCCCACCCTTCTCACAGGCACTGATGGTGGCATTGTAGCAAATCACATCTGGCTGATCGTCTGTCCTATTCATTGCATGAAACAACCAAATGGCTTGCTGCCATTGCCCAAGCTGCTCACATGCACTTATCGTAGCACTGTAGGTGATGACATCGGGTTGAACGCTTGCCTCTGGCATGGCTTCAAGCAAATGTAGTGCCTGTTGCCATTGCCACGTCTTCTGACAGGCACTAATGACAGCACTGTAGCTAATGACATCTTGCCGAACTTGTGTCTCCGGCATTGCACCGAACAAGTCCAAAGCATACAAATATTGCTCGCATTTTTCACAGGCACTCATGGCTGCGTTGTAACTGATAACATCTGGCTTCAATCGCACCTTCAAAATGGCTTCTAAAAACATCAAGCCAAGCTGCCATTGGTTTGCTTTCTCGGCAGTACTGATAGCAGCGTTGTAGGTAATCAAATCTGGCAGTACCTGCCTTCTTGAAATAAACTCAAACAAGTTCACCGTTTGCAGCCATTGCCCGCCCTTCTCACAGGCACTGATGGCAGCATTGCAACTGATGACACCTGCCTGCACTTGAGTTGTGAGCATGATTTCTATTAACTTCAGCCCAGACTGCCACTGCCCGCCCTGCTGACGAGCACTAATAGCTGCATTGTAACTGATCACATCTGGCCGACGTCTTGCAATTCTCATGACCTCAAGTAGTGTCAGTGCATGCCGCCATTGTCCGCCTTCCTCACAGGAACTGAGTGCTGCGTTGTAGCTGAACACGTTGGGCTGAAGGTTTGAATGTGGCATGGCAATGGAAAACAAGTTCAACGCGAGCTTCCAATTGCTTCCTTTCCTGCAGGCACTCATCACAACACTGTATGTGATCACCTCTGGTTGAATGCTTACTTTTGGCATGACCTCATACAACTTCAATGCTTGCTGCCAGTGTCCGCCGCTCTGACACGCACTGATGGCCGCAAGGTAAGTTATGGCATCTGGAAACGTGTTTGTACTGGGTAGGACCTCAAACAACTTCAACGCTTGCTGCCATTGGTTGCCCTTCTCGCAGGCACTAATGGCTGCATTGTAGCTGAACACATTCGGCTGCACCTTCGCCTCCACCATGCCAGACAGCAAGCTCAATGCTGTCTGCCACTGACCACCCTTCTCACAGGCGCTAATGGCTGCACTGTATGTGATGACATTTTGCTGAACTGCCGCCTTCGGCATGACAGCGAACAACCTTAATGCCCGTTGCCATAGCTTGGATCTAGCACATGAAGAAATCCCCAGTGAATAATCGGCCGCCTCGAGTTGCATTCTTTCATCCAGTCTGATGTCTTCCAGAATTGTAAAAGCCAGCTCACCTTGGAAATCGTAGGCCACCCTTTATAAATGAAAGGCTTTCATTGAAGGACTAAGGAGACACGCAGAAGGGGATCTCCTAAAAAAACCTCCTCAACACTGTTGTCTCAATCCTATGCTAATCTATGGTTTATGTTAGATTTTACCCAACTAACACAACTTTCGAATGTGGGTCGGGAGTTTGATGCTTCCATATTATGTTTGAAGGCGCACCTTTCCTCACAGATTTCCTTCCCCAGGCCTTTTGATGAGGCCGAAGAAAAGCAAAACCGTTCTGGCTTCGTATGTCCATGTTGCCATTGTGCTCTTGGAGACTTCTCTTCAAGAAGCTCTGCAGCTGATGTCCTCAACTTTCATTTCAAAGACCAAAGAGTCAGTCTCTTGGCACAAGAACCATGGAATTTGAGGCAGTCTGTTCGTCCATGTAGACCTGTTCTTCCAGTCATTTTTGCAGCCAACTCTGGAAAGAGAGATACATTGTTATCATTTGTTATCTATATATAATTTAACGTTGAGGTCAAGTCGTATCCAGAAGTTCCGAAGGAGGGGCTCTCCAATAGGTGGTGCAGACTCTTTCCGTCAAAGAGTAGTATCACTCGGTGATACCTGTGGAAATCTCTTCAGCACAGAGTTTATAGGAGGGTATTGGCACTTCGTGAGTAAAGTATGCAACTGATTGCAGCAAGTCCAAGTTTCTATTCATCAGCAACTCATCCCAAAATGACTTCAGCGGCTCTGAACTTCTGGCTTTGGCGTTGCCACCACTGGGACCGCAGTCTGGCAGGTTGGGGGCGGCATCGGGGTCATTCAGAACCTTGGTTTTGCTTCTCGGCGAGGCGCGTTCACACGCTTTGACCGAAGCAAGACGAGGAACTTCGTCGAAGCTCCGAAGGTTCGGCCACTTTCGATACATCTGTCCTTCGGCATCTCGCTCGCACGAACTCGTTTTCAGCTATTTCTATATCCCAAACACGACTAATGGGACTGCCATATATGCCTACATTGAGGTTTGGGGGGTCAATGGGGCGGCATATATGGCAGTCCCATGGAGTGTCTGGGTATGTATTTCTCCAATTTCCTTCAAGTACTAGTACCCGTGGAAAAAGGGACCTGAGATGACCTGAGCCGTGTCCATTGACCAGTGTCCCTTGACCACGGCCATCGACCCATCCGGAAAGCCGACCCGGCCCGGCCTGAGTCGCTCGCGACGATGCGAGTTTGGGAGTGCGCTTGGGGCTTGCGATTGTCGTTCCAATCCAAGCTCTGCAAGGAAGCTCTGCAATCCAAGCTCTGCAGAAGCATTTGTTTCGATTTGCCGCAGCTGAGGTGGACAAAAACAACAACTCCCCCCAAAAGCGGCGAACTCGAAAGGCAGAAATCCCGGTGGCGGATTTGGGGATTGGCCAGAAGCAATGTTTGGGATTTGAGCCACGGGTTTCGAACATGGAAGTGTCTATCAAACCACCCAGCACCCGTGGAATCAAAACCCAAACCCCTAAGGGGGTGTCCATTTACTACCTGTCGTGGGTCCGATTTGTTGCATCATCCAGCGAAGGCAACTCCTTTTCCATCCAACATGGGCCAGGACCATGTGACTGAATTTACACCCCCGAGTTTGAGGTCACAAAAAGACTGTAAAACGCTTACAAGGCGAAGGCACCAATCAGCATGAGCATGGCCATTTTCTTCTGCCCAGTCCCAATCAACATTCGTCCCACAGAAGTTGTACACAAAGTCGCTCCAGGTTATCGCTTCATCCCGGCTCCCACAAGGACCATGGTGGTTGCTGGTCGTTTTGCTCCGTCCGTTCCATCCCCGAACACGGAAAGGCAATCCACTGCCATGATATCATTCATAAACCCAGGTTACAAAAAAGGATTCTGAACTATTCTACTTCTCTAGGGGGGACTCATTCATCAAGACATATCAAGAGAAATCATGTGGAGCCTCGTTCGCCCCTAGTCCGAATATTTGTTTGCCCACGAAAATGGTCCGAAAGTTCCTGAAAGGCCTTCGTCTCCTTAAGCAAACGCCATTGATTCTTCTTGATTTGTGCTTTGCTGAAACAAGGTTACTGCAGTAATTGTCTTTGCTAAGGCAGTCCTTAAAGACTTTAGCTCCAAGCTGATTTCTACCTGGCAGACTACTCAACCAGACAAATACAACAAAAGACAGTCTTTTTGACTGGTCAAGGTCAAGGTAGCCATGGCTCTCTTGGCTTTATACCGGAATCCTTGGGGTCCTCCGGTGTCTGCCTAAGACCGATTGCTTTCGGAAAGGCTCGCTGGGGGTGTAGCTTCTGCAAGTAGAATACATTCGATTCCTCGACATGTAGGTTGGAGGCCACGGCTAGTAGGTTGGAGGCCATCGCTAGTAGGTTGGAGGCCATCGCCTGGGATTGCCCAAACAATACTCCACTATACCCAGACCATCCATGGAACTGGAAGAGTTGCCTACATGGGCCTACATGAAAACCCCATCCATGCTGGCGTAACTATTCGTCCCATAAAGTCTGGTCTGGGATTGGTTGTGCAATACACTCCCTGGAACTATCGTGGAAGTGGAATACAGCCTGTTCATAGAGGAATTCAGTCTTCTTTTCAGGGCCATGTTCCACTTCGTTAGTTTCAGGGAGTCAAACATATTAGAACGTCCCAGATTTCTCCACCCACTCAACTCACACATCACCAGCTTCTGGCATTGCCCAAACACATCATGCTTCAGATGTGAACGGGCTGCGCAGTCTGTGTCCAGGACTGCCGTGTAGGACACGAGGTTTGGTGCAAGATCAACCTCAGGCATGGCCTCAAAGACGCACCATGCTTGCTGCCATTGGCTAGCCTTCACACAAGCAGTGATAGCAGCATTGTAGCTGATCACATCAGGCTGAAGTCTTGCCTTTGGCATGGCTTCAAAGAATTGGATGGCTTTCTGGGATTGATGGCCCTTCTCGAAGGAGCTCAAGACCGCATTGTAGCTTATGAGGCTGTGCTGAACCTTTGCCATCGGCATGGCCTGAAATAATCTTAGTGCTCCTTGCCATTGTTCTCCCTTCTCGCAAGCGCTTATGCTCGCATTATAGCTGACGACATCGGGCTGAAGCATCGCTTTGGGCATGGCATCGAACAAGATCGTTGCTTGCTGCCACTGACCAACGTTCTCACACGTGCTAATGGCCGCATTGTAGCTGACGACATTAGGACTGACTCGCACCCGGGGCATTGACTCAAACAACTTCAAAGCGTCCTGCCATTCGCAGCCTTTCTCACATGCACTGATCGTCGCACCAAAAATCACGACATCAGGCTTGGCCTGCGTCCTAGGAAAAACTTCAAACAACATTAATGCATGCCGTGATCGGCCAGCCTTCTCACAGGCACTTATGGCTGCGCTATAGCTAAACACATCCGGCTGAACACTGAGATTCGACATTGAGTCGAAGCAAGCAATTGCATGCTGCCATTGCCCGCCTTTCTCACACGCACTGATGAGTGCGCTGCAAGTCAGTACGTCTGGTTCAACGACAGCACTTGGCATCGCCGCAAAGAGTGTCAGCGCATCCTCCCAACGTCCGACCTTCTCGCATGCGCTGATGGCTGCGTTGTAGCTGAAAGTATTTGGCTGGACCTTGGCCTCTGGCATGGCCGTTGAAAACAAGTTCAATGCTAGTTCCCAATTGCCACCCTTCTCGCAGGCACTGATGGCTGCACTGCAAAGGATGACGTTCAGTTGAATCTGCGCTTTTGGCATCATCTGAAAGAGCTTCAACGCCTCCTTCCAAAGCTTGGACCTGGAGCACGAAGCCATTCCCAGTGCCAACTCGCCTTGGGGGAGATGGACGTGGCGGCTTCGCACCGCGGCGAACGAACGGTGCACGCACCGTGCCTCCGAAGCGGTGGCAGCGGTGCACGCGTTCACGGCTTCGCTACACGGGGGTGTAGCGACTAGGGTTCTTCGGTCCGGACCCTGTAAAGGAGCCTGTACCTAAGTGAATCCTAGAAGTGACCTAGAACACTACTACAGACTCTAAGTGAATGAATCTCCAGTGGCCTGGTGTTTTTAAGCGAGTGTGTCTCCAAACCATCACAGACAGTGGTAACAAGGTACCCAAAACACCAGGCGGGCCCTCGTTCCAATCGCTGGGACGGTCTTCTTCTCAACAGCTCGCGAACGTCCAATCACACCCCTACGATTTTGGGGGGATTCCCCGCCTGGGTGTGAGGGTTCTGCACCAGGAGTCCATTCCCTAACAATCCATTTCGAATACCTACATGAGGGTCAACCATGCGGTAAATATACCTGAAAACCGAAACAGCCAGGAAAAAGTGTTTCTGCCAATATGTTCTTGAGATCCTTTACATAGCAAGTGGTTGGGACTGGGGAAACGTCAATTTGTTTTTGGTTGTTTGGGTTTCCAGGTAACTATTATGCCAGTCCCATGGATGGTCTGGGATGCGTAGATTAGCGGCTTGGACCCTGAAGCTCTCTGCACACATGAGCGAACAGGCATCTCAGGCATTCAAATCAGTCCCAGTCCGGCTTACGCGATGGAGTGACAAAATCGGCGGCCCCTTACACCCGAGAAACTCGATCTACAACATTCTACCTGGACCCTCCTGTCGGGGTGCCCTGTCTGGAAGCCTAGTGGGGTAGTGTGGGGTAGTCCAGCCAGGACCCCCGCCCCCGACAGGAGGGTCCTGGTGCTCTCCACCTTTCGATCACATCTGCAAAGTGTCGCTTCGTCACATCTTGCCCCAGTTCTTGCGCCCAAAGTCTGGAGTCCAGTGCAACCTCACTCTTCACCTGACACCTGGCTGGGATCCACCGGCGTCCAGTCAGCCATGCTCCGAACACAGCCCTCGTGGTGAAACCACCACTTCCACGAACGCCGCGTCCGGCTCCACCGGTGGCCACTGGGTACGGCGGGAGGCTCCAGCGCTCTCGCCCCTCCCGCGGTGCTTCCGCTCTCCAGCGCGGTGGGGCGACGTCATGGGTCAACATGCGGCGACAAGGGGGAGCGAAGGATTCCGATGTTTACCTGGCGTCTTAAGGCATGCGGATTCCGATCAAGGTTCGTAAAGGTTCGTAGTTTGTTGACCTGTCATGCTTAAAGAGCGAAGGATTCCGATCCTTGTCCCAAACTACGAAGATGACCAATTGGACACCCGCATGTGTGCCGTACAAAGGTCTAGTGCCCCCCTCAAACCACTCCCAAAAACGTTTTTTTATTAAATGTCATATTTATGGAATCTCTGGGTTTGGTTGCAGAATGTTGCAGATCTGCCAAAGCCTTACATGGTTCCAAAGATTTGCCAATTCTGCAAGACTTCTGCAAGATCTGCAGCCAAAACCTTGGTGTGAAATGAACTGTGCCCAGCTGCCAGGATGTGTTCAAGGGCCTGTGAAGAGGACAAGGATGGACAAGGTGGGTAATACGGAGTGATCATTTTTCTCCATTTGGTGATTGTTGTCACTGACCGCGGAGAGGTTCTTGGAGGATGCTTAGTTTTAGACCAGGAACACCCCAAGGCACACGCCTAGCGCTTTCATGTTTGATCTGTTTCCGTTTAATACTGTTACGGAAGAAATCTGACATAACGGTATATGGCAATGGCAATATACCAATTTCTAGTCGATTCTATTGTATTCTATATATACCAGTACCAAACAGGTATTTCCTGGGTTTCCAAGTCCGGTGCCCCA